TATCAGAATCAGTTTCTAAGCTTTTGAAGGAGGCATTTAGTTGCCTACTTAACTTGATGACTAATTTTTCAAAATATGTGTCCAACCGACAGTTGATGATTTCATGATGTGACAAACGAGGCTAATCAGAAACACCGTAGCAAATGCGGTCACGTGATTATACAAGGTCAGACACCAGCTTCAGCAATAATTTTTATGGGGTTACATTTATTTTGCGAAATAATTTTCATCTCGGCAAGTTCAAAGCTTTTCGTCGTATGAAAGTGGAAACCCTCCTCAAACCCAACCTCGGAATCAAGATCGTGGAGAACAGAAAATGACGAAAGCCACGAATCGATAGATAGAACGAATCAGACAAAGTGTATAGCATCGACACAATCCTGTAATTGTTAAAGTTTTATAACTTCTATACTTTATAACTATTACAGTTATGCCGTACATACTAAATATAAACATAATTTATATAGATGACACGATAGCGGCGAAGTCCTGCAGCTAACCACCGCGATCAGCCACGAGGCAGCGATAATCCAAGATAATACGCATTAAACAAAAACCTCGAACAGCAGGATGGGCATATTGGCCATCAAACCACCTTTATCATGATATCACAACTATGCATCGGCTAAATGCGGTCAGTCAGAATATGGACCAAAGTTAAAGATCGTGCAGAGCACAGAAAGATAAAAACACATGCATTGATCCCCTGAAAAGAGGATGAAATGCATTGGATGAGAACAGTTAAAATTAGGAAATGCTAATTTCAAGTAAACAGATCTGATTATATGTTCCTTAAATAAAATGAACATGTGATAACGCAAACTGAATATCGGACAAAGCCATGCGAGGCGAGAACTGTTGAAAATTATGGTATGATGTTCATAACGTGAGAAAAATTAAAGTACCTTGGAACCGGTACCACCATATGGACAGGGCAAGAAAATCATTATGGCGATGCATGAAGAATGCTCTGACTAGAAACTGGAGGGAGAAGTCATTCGCATTAGTCCTAACGGAAAGTTCGACAGTTGTTAGCTTTTATAACCAAAATAAATTGTGATTAAACATTTGCTAAAGTGCATGATTGCTAAAAGCTGAAAGTTTTATGGCATTTATCCGACGGATAAAGGATAATGACGTAGATCGAATATCACTGCTCCGTCTCTGTCCTTCTGACAAAAGCTGATGAAATTGATTGATTAGCATGATTTACAAGAGACGCAATCCAATTCACTGAAGTGCAAGGCAGTACATGGTTTCCAGCAGTACTTGAACCCATATATTTGACATAATCACAATAATTTCAAATTCTGACAAACGATGACAGTTAAACATACTCAATAAGACATTGTCCTATGGTGCAAATAAACTGAAAGTACTATTAACTGAACAGACATGCCTGGAATTATGACCACTGAAATCATTATGCTCATTTAGTTCAGGAGAAAATCGATTTCTACCATT